AGTGCTGCATACAACTCAACAAAAACTCGTCCAAACGTCGCTAACCATCTTTCTTTTTAGTCGCACAAAATAAGTAGTCCAAAAAGTAATTAAATAAAATAAATTCCGAAAAAAGTTTGCGAAAAAAAAATCAATATAATCTTTTTTCTGAAAATACATCAACGATTTTATATATATATATATATATTTTGTTTATGAATATGGAGATTTTCTCTAAATAATTTTATGTTGTATTTTAATTTATTCTACTTATTTAATTTATTTATTTTAATTAAATAATTAATATTACTGATATTTACGGGATGCAATCATTTCCATTAGCTGTAATATTGAACGTATTAACAAATATCAATGCATTTTGCATTAGTATCACAGAGCTAAGTCAAAGTTTCGCACTACTCTAAGTTATTTCCCTGAAAAAATAGTCGTTATGGAAATGTGTTTTACCGGCGCGGTATTCCGTTTTATGCTATACGCCACTAAAACGAGTTGTACTCGTTTTGTTCCGGTTTTACTGGCGAATGTTAGAACCACCGACAACCGACGACGACGACGACGATGACGATGACAACGACGACGACGACGACGACGAAGACGACTGGTCGTGTTAACTTGCCTACGAATATGCGAGCGATGTAAATTCCGCACGTCGACGGAAGTGCTTCGTTTCAGTTGCAGTTGCATGCTCTCCTGTACCACGTCGCCGCGAAAGCATGCTGCGGCTTTCGACGAACGTCTGGGAAGCACGTCGTTGGTATTTTCCCGAATGGCAGGACGAAAGTGGCTTTGGCCGTTAGAAGTGGCGGACTTTTTAGGAACAAAGAAGGATTCGTTACAGTTACGTAGTAACGTTTCCTTTCACGTGCATTAATAATTGTAAATTCGAGTCGTAACTCGAGCCGCGGGGAAAAGTTACACGCGATTCTACTTTAATCCTTTCAAAGAGAACGTTAATTCACTCGAGTGCCCGGACAATGTCACGGCAATTTCGTGGTATTTGTAGGAATCCCGACGAAGGAGACTATTCAATTTTGCAACCTCCTGCCTGCAAAAGTAGCGGGATTTTCTTATTTCTAAGATTTATACAAAGACTCGTAAAAGAATAATAGGTATCTACTTTTAAATAATTTACCCGTTAGGTATATATCGAAACGATCTCTGAGCGATCGAGAAAGTTTTACGCACGAAATCGACTCCCGACAGCGATACAATCGTGCTAATGCAATCGAACTTCCGCGGAAGTTTGGATAAATCCAAGATTCCGTAAAATCGTACTCGACTCGAAGATTTTCTATGAATTTTTAATCGTGCACGTCCGCGGAGCCGCCTACCGGAATCCGGGATTTTCTACCTTACGTTCCGCACGTGGAATAAGATGCGAATCTACAGAATACCGTTAAAGTATCATGAGAACGTGACACGAAATGCTCATTGCAAAGGAGTCAACCGAAGACTATATGTGCTACGTAATCGGAACATCTGTCACAGTTAGCAATCCCGTTTGTTTTCGTTTCCGACAATTTGGACGAAATGCAATTTACGCCGTATAGAGTGCACCAAATCTAAAAGGCAAATGGAAAAATATATGTCTTGTATATATATATATATATATATATATATATATATGTGTGTGTGTGTGTGTGTGTCTTGATATATTTTATACCTCCATATTCGCATCCGCGGATTTTATCTTCGTTCTCATTGAAATTTAATAGGCTTACGTTCTCGTTATATCGCGACGGCTTCATAATCAGTACAAAAGTAAAAACTGTCATGTCGAAGTCTAAGTGAGACTTTACCGACACGCATTTGTTAGACGCGACGAAAATGATAAATCTCTCTTTGTCCCAAAAAGATAAGGGATGATGCACCGTCGCGCCATTCCCACTGAATATTTGAGCAATTTCTACGTCCGCGGTTGGTTCGCACTTGTACTACATCCCTAAAGTCATTCGCATGCGTCTTCGACTGTAGAAAACGCCCCTGGGATCCTCTGCCACTCTTTCTCACTCTCTTTCCCTCTATTTCCTGCTCCTGACCGTTTGCCGCGCATTGAAAACGGCGGCATGATATTCGCTAGTACAGACAGGGAAAGACCGGCCTCACTCTACACATAAAATATGAATGAGCTAGTAAGTGCATCTCTCGCAGGAAGAACTTGAGAAAATTTTGCCGCCGTCATTCGCAGCGAACAACCCGTACTTCATTTCCGTAGACAACGCCGTAGATGTACCGGAATGAATAAGATTAAGCGATAGTACAATTTCTTAATGAGGGGATGCTGAACTTGTGTCTGTATTAGCGACAGAATGTGATAGTTTTTGTATCGCTTTAATTTTTTTAAACTAATTTTATGATTAGATTTGGAAATTCTTTTCCACAATTAAAGTTTGTGCATTAACATGTGTCTGTATGTATGCACATCTATGTACGTTAGATGTGCATATACGAACGCTCTCGTCGGAATTCGTTTGTCAGTTCAGCATCCTCTTAAGCAATAAAAACTCGCGAAAATGAAATCGTCTACGAAATGCGCGGAGTTCTCAAAACTGATCAGAAATGAAAGAAGGACAAATACAAATATTATCTCAGTTTGATTAAGCATGTTGTTCCGAACGCAATCCTATCGATAATGGAACAAGATCTTAGGTAGTTCCTCGCACTCACGCCGATAAAGTTCTGAGAGCTCTGTTTGAGCGCGCAACTAACTGCTCGAAGCATCAACCGTGGTACAAATTCAATTCCTCCTTGATCAGCAAGGACTTAACCATACCACTGTCGCAAACACAATCAAAATTTCTGTTACGGAACATCTACGATGATTAACGTCTAGCCTACGTAGAAATCGATTAATTGGAAATCAGCTTACGAGAATGTTTTGAGCAGGCTAAGTGGATAATTTATTAATTTATTAATTAAGAAAATAATAAAAATGATTTTATTTCATTTTTTTCATTCGTTCAAATTAAGGTTTGTTAAATTTACCAATAAATTTAGCTTGCTTTTCGATAATCGAAATAAATTCAATGAGCCACTCAAGAGACAGCATTAATGGCACAAATGGAACTGGCTCAATTACTGCAATTTCGCAACTTGGGAATGGCTGAGGAAAGTTTATTGTTGCTGTTTCCTAAGCTCATCCGAATCGATGAAGACTGTCGAGTGACATCCCTGTTGCTCAGACTATTCCCCAGCGTGAAGTTTCGCAACGACCCTTCTACGTGACACTTTCGCGAGAAACTTAAAGTTTGACAAGCGGAAGATATATCCTTGAAAGGTGAGAGGCGGCATTGCTCTTAAGTGATTGCCTAGAAACGGCCTCGTCGTTTACGAATAGACTGGTATTTCAAGTTAACCCGAAACCCCATATTATATATTACCGCCTGCGCAATTATTCATTAAAGTTATTGCTGTTCGCTAATCAGTACTTAATTCTCTTCAGAACGCATTTCGCTTGTCATTAAAATAAATTTTCCTAATGTATATTTTCCTCGGTGTGTCTTATAAAGTGTTTTAATAAACTCGAGTTGTTCTCAAAATATCCTTTATCCTTTATGAGGAGAAGGATATAATGCTCTTAAAGTTCTCAGCGCGATGAAATTTACATATTAAAAGTTAAGTAGCTACTTTAACAGTAATGGACAGAACTGGCGTATCAGAGAGTTGAAGTGAATTTGGAAACGACCACTAATCCCTTGAACTAACCGTCCTTCGTCATGTAAGTGAACAATGGTGCAGTAGAACTTCGAAACATGCTCTATCCATTTTAATAGTTTTCAGAGGATCAGCACGATTGGGTAGATTGTTCGAAATCTCGTTACTCGAAATTTAGTGCTTGTTTTACAAACACTTTAAAAGCGTAAAAGCGGGAACGAATGGAAATTGTATAATTACTTGTTAATTATATGGAATACATAATAGCAATTTTATTAAAAATATAGCCTTTGGAGTCACGTAATTTATGATTGTTGAAATTTTCCATTGGAAAACATAAATATTTAGACTGCGAAATGCGATATACATATTAACATAATCTTATTATTTTTGCGACTCAAGTAAATAGCGCGACGACTAAAATCATAAGATTTAATATTATTATTGCGTTGTAACATCAGCTCTTCCTGCGTACAATATACGTACAACAAACCTTGGTGAAATCACCGTAGCAATAAATTCGATATCACCGTCCCCGATGGATCTCCGATTGAACCAAAAACATTTCGATTCCACTTTGATGAAACCATTTTTCGTTTAAATTCTCATTGAAATCCGTATATTTATGGACGACACGTCGATACAAGCGGCGCGGAACACACCAGATTTACGATTAAACTCTCAGTTGAATATGGCTGACGCGGTCAAAATCGGTCATTCTGTCGCAACGAGCGGAGGGCGGGCAGAAAGTGTGTTTTAATTCTGTTTGACACCATAATCGAACTTTAAAGCTGTTAATCCGGAAAATTTCGAGAGATTTATTTTGAAAAGAAAAGCAATCAAATCGTATTGTATTTCAATATGTGAACACCTACGTTACTCTTTCTTTTTTTTTTTTTTTTTTCCCTAATTCCATTTTACGTACGGCCGAGTCATAAATAATAGCGAATTGATGGCGCTGGTCGCAACATTCTTTTACATCGCGTATATCACGAGTCGCATGATATTTTTACGAAAGTAATTTTATAGAGTGTGATAGATTTATTAGATGACTGCGTATGCATTGTATGAAATTGAGTTCGATGCCATAATCGAGGAATGCGAATTGGTGGTTTCACAAAATTTCACCAACCACGTTAACTTCGCGAGGAATTCGGAAGGAATGGAATATTATGAATATTATCACATATATGGATGGAATGGTACATAATTATCATTCGTGTAACACCCGCGTATTCCCGCGTTAGTTTTTACGTTTTCGCAAATGTTGAAGAATTCGCGTTGTAACGCAACGCACCGTATCGAATGAGCTCGCATGCCTTTCTTTTTTTTTTTTTATTACTCACCTTGCCGAAATTCGAGAGACCACCGATTTGAGGCACTTGACCAGGTTCGTCCGCCGTGCTGCAGTCTGCCCTAACGAACCAACAGGTCAGTAACTCAGTAGCGACAATCGTGAACGTTATTGCGATAGAATTCCCTCTAATCACAGGTTTCCACCCCCATAACGCTAACGATAACAGCAACAGTATTATTCACAGGACAGTAGCTCGCGGCGAGCCACAATGGCCAGTTCGCAATCATACCACAACTAACTCGTTTCTATTCCAAATGATCTCGGGAATATTCTAGTAAGCAACTTCATTAAATTTACGTTATACAGTAGTATTTATTATTAGTAGTATTCATAGTTTCAATGCTTTCGCGAAGTAAACGCGAGTATTTCAGTATCGATATCCTTTCAATATTGTATTTTGGAAAATCGTTATATAGAGTGTTTCAAACTTATCCGTTTTTTTTTCCCTACGAACCATAACTTTATTAATAATCATCACATGGAAATGAAGTTTACAGAAAATATTTCTATTGATATGACTTTCAAATTGATCGCGCATTCTATTCGATATATTCTTTTGTCTTGATGCACGCTCGTAATCACTTGGGGAAATTGTCAATGATGGTCGTTTTCGAAAATTTGGGTCAAAGAAAATTGAGCAATTCACCCGATTTTCAATCCAATGGATTATTCCATGTGATCTGTTTTGAAATCTAGGCTCTGTATAATCTGTTGATGCATTAAAAAGATCATTCAATGAGGCTTGGAATATTACCATCGAGGAACTAATTGTTAACTTCATTTCCACGTGACGATTATTAATAAGGTTATGGTTCGTAAAAAGAAAGCCGATAATTTTAGAATACCTATAGACGAATTGCAAATTACTAGATCAAAATGTTACATGCTACTTATGTTGATTCTTATTTTAAGTGTTCTGCAAAAACCTATTCATTTTTTTTATTAAGTTATTATAAAGATCGGTAATAGATCGCATGATTATTTCTAATAATAAAAGTATGCTAAATCCATAAATTTTTATAAATCTGCAATTTTTAGATCCTATTTAGAGATAATTACAAGTATCTCCGGATCACTGATAAGCTCGACAGTATATTTTGACAGATATATTAATAATAATTTGACTCTGTCACGTAACACGCAAGTAAAATACATTCCATTACATTGGATAGCCTTTATTAAAAGAAAGCGATCAGGTTTCGTGTCAACGTCGAGAAATAGGCTTCTCTAATGCTTTCCCTGGAAGTCTTTCCCTCGGTATACGGCACATGCCTTTCAGTCACATGTCATAATGCCATTCCAATTCTCCCGAGGCAACATAATCGCGATAACAATCATCGGCGGAGGGGGATAGTTAGACATCTTATGTAGATGGGGATTATGCGAAACGTACGATGTGCTTTGGACGCCAGCTCGAGGACCCGGGGACTAATACCACGCTGACAATCGCGCGCATTAGCGTCGTACCCTCTAAGCCGTCGCGAACGGAGCAATGATGCGGTGGCGGTAATGGCAGTGATAATCGATAAACCGAGCTGCAGCGATCGCGATCACGTCGCACGCGCGGCCACCGCCGACACTCGAGAGATCGGCCGCAAGTTTTAGCCGCGCCGCCGGATTTAATTCAGCGGCCGACCGACGACAGCGGCGACGGCAGACACGCGCCATTAAATCTCGCGGCTTTCCCTCTCGTTCGCTTCGAACTGGTCAGTCGAAGCTGTACACAACTCGGGACGTCATTTCCGCCGATATCGAGCTTAACCGCGCGGGAATCGACGAGCGGGGGCACCTGTCGCGCGGGGCAAACGCGATTCCACTCGGATTTATGGTCGCGCGGCCTGGAGAGGCCTGCACAGCGGCAACAGCCGGCGTCCGCCGCATTTTTGTTTGACCGCCCGCCGTAATCGCCCTCTATCTATCGGTAAAACACCGGGTATTCGACGGGCGCGTATAATATTGTTACACTATACATTAATCCGCGCGGGATTTATCATGTTACACGCGAGATTTAATTGCAAAGCGACGGATGAGCGGAGCGGGGACGCGTGAAATATGGTCGTCGCGCGCCGATCCTCCGCGCGGAAATAAATCGCCCGACGATTTTTATCGACAACCGCGACCGAGTTTGCGTCGTCGATTTTCCTCCGTGGCGGTATCCTTAGACCGAGTTAGATATACTCGTAAATAAACCGAGCGAGTTGATCGCGGTCTCGCGTGTCTGTCATTGTATATCGCGTAATGCCGCTCGTAATGCCGACGAGGGTATTACTCGACGAAATAATCTAAAATTCTCTTTTGCTTTTAGTTGTACGGAGGACAAGGAGGATATCTCAAAACATAATGTATTTTAGTAATTATATCTTGGATAATTGAATAATTTTAGACTCGAGTAACGAGCGTATAACGACCGTGTGGCTTAATTGAGTAAAACGGAAACGCGTGAATTTAATCTGGATGTAATCTCTAAATAATAATATTAGGTTGCAACAACAACTCACGCGATAACTCGAATGTTATCGTAACGTTAATTAAATCGGAAATTCGTATCGCATTTTTAATTCGATGAAAATTTTTGTCGAAAAACAAGCGACAAGAGCGAAGAGAGTTTGGCAGAAATCCGTTCCAGTCGTAAACGTGATAGCGCGACAAAATTTATTTATAATGGAGCACCGATTCTTCATTGCGTCGTAAAACAGAACGTGACGCCATAAAATCGGAAGCCGGGGAGGATCGATCAGAGCTCATCCCGCACATGGGAAAACGAGGCGTCGGACTGCGCGATACCTTCGCGATATATCAGCTCGCTCGAAAAGCTCTCCTATTTCGTCTTGTAGCCGTCGAGAGACGTCTCGTAAAAGTTTGCCGCCGCTCGCGAATTCGTCCATTGTTTGTCGTGCGGCAATATTTCTACGCTTTGTCTGCCGTGGCACCAGCTGAGCCGCACGATCTGCGATTTTCACGTAATCCCGGCTTGATGCTCTCCACCCCGAAACGAAACAGCTCGACGTACGGAAAAAAAAAAAATTGTTCTGGGGTTATAGGGAAACTCCACCGAGGATTGAAATAATATTGTATATTAATTAAATTTTAAGAAAGGGCTTTGTTTTTGAAATATCGAAAATCTTTTTTTTCCCTTTTTTTACTTCATAACGTAATCGTTTCCCTCGTACAGCAAATGAATTTACTTTGACCATTAATATGGAAGCGTTAATGGAAAATAAAATTATAATTTTATATGTAATATATGTTATCGTAGATTTTTCTCGTGCTCTCCAAGAGAAATATGAATTTCATAATTTTTTCCACGTAAATTAATTCATCGCGATGTTGTCTAGTTTTTATGGAAATTGAAATCTTACAAAATAGTCGGGATATTTTTTGAAATTAATCCACGAAGTCGTATGACTCGTATGTAACCGATCCTTCGACGATTGCGTTTTTTTTTTCAATGCGGCCGTGGCTTTGAAAAGCCGCGGCTCGGTAATATCGTAAAACTATGCTGTCCGTGAATTTTGTGGATTACTGCACAAACGCACGACCGCGGTAACGTTATGCCGTTGATCTCTTATGGTCCGCGCGCGAACTATTATAGGAACTTTAATTCGTTTACGTTAAACGTTTTACTGCTCGCGTTCAAAGCGATAGCTTTTAATGCACGCGAAATGAACGAAACTGGAATTACTACCGCTTGGAATTACTACCGCCGGATGTTTCGCTCTGGGCAGAAGAGCGGATGAAAAGTTCTGGATCGGCAAAGGCCCCGATTGCATCTGCCGTGATGACCGGCGTTATTGCACGGCTTGCGGCCGCCGCACATTTTCAACAGCCGGGACGATAAAATTCTACACCGTAATCGCTGTTCACGCATCAACGCGGATCGGGTGATCTATTTTCATCGGTCGGTTCCGCCGACCTCGACGGGGCGGGTTCACTACGCGCAACTTGCATTTTCGCCGACGATACTTTTTCGTTCGCGCAAGAATACGCTCCGACGACGATTTCCCACAAATCGTACTTTTTTTAAAGCGAATAAAACTCTGGAATATTCTCGAGATGCCTCTTTAACAGATGGCTTCTAATGTCGAAAGGGTCTGGCCGTGCCGATATTTTACCTTAATCAGATCGCGTTTAGCGATCTTTTGAACTTGATCTTGATTTCAGCGAAATGGGGGGGGGTTTGTGCGCGCGTCGCACTTTGCAGGGCTTAACGCAATTACGGCTTGAGCCTGTGTGTACGTGTGTATAACGGCGAGGACCCTTAACGAAATTGCACCTCCCGTGCGATCCCGTGTACAAGTGTAACAATATAATGGGACGACCAGCGGTTTAAACGCGGTTCTCCTTCCGGTTCTCTTACTTCCTAACACGCTTTAACGCGCCCGATCGTTAACCCGTTCTTATTTCTGCGCTGGCACACTCACCAAGGTGTGTTGCACGTGTGCGTGAGGGTGAGATACCTGGCGCCCAGCTCGTACAGCATCCTCAGGACCGCCAGGCTCGCTCCGACGGCGTGGCCCCCCTCGACCCCTATCAAGCTCGCTAATCTACCCTCCTTGTGCGCCCTCTCGATACCTGGAACCATACATTATAACTTACTTCGCGTATCTCTCTCTCTCTCTCCTCGTCGCCCGTTATTCACGTATTCGCATAACAGCGTGAATCTGGCTCTTGGAACTGAACCTCATCACCATGGACCCTTCCAACGGGGCTCAGGGGTGGATTTGTATCACGTAAGCCCGATAAGTCGAGAGCCGCGAACGTTCCGTACGCGTGTTCCGGATAGATAAATTTCGCACGCGATACACTTTTAACCTCCACAGCCGTTTAGTATTATGAAAGAGTCTCGCAAACCAGATGTTTTTTTTTTTCTTTTTGGTCCAGATTCTCGCGCGCATCGTCCATTAACTTTTCTCGCTCGTAGAATAATCTCACTCTTGCGAGCTCTCGCACGTAACGGTAGTGACACGTGAATCTAATAACGTCGGCCGGAACATCATTACGAAGTTCCGGCCGTGCCTCCGATAAGTAATACCGATGGTAAGTGGATCTGCGAACTTTGCAAATTCTCTTTGCGCGACATTGAAAAACAACGGCGGAATCGCGCGCCGAGACAACGTTCCCGACGGACATACGCTCCGCGGGGCAAATGCCCGGAACGAGGATACTTCGGTTAAGCGCAGTTTATCTTTTCACCTAGCCTCGCCTCGCCTTGCGTCATTTTATTTCGCGCGGTTCGAGCGTGAACAATGCGAATGCGAAATTCAATTACGACGCGCACAATGCGCGATGCACATGGATCATAATTAAGCGAGCTCGTCGAGCGGTGTCTCCGATCTTCGGATTAATTAAATCTTTCAAATTGCCCGTCGTTATCGGGAATGTCTCATCTCGACGATCGTTAATTACAAAGTATAAATAAAAGTTAATTAACCCGGGACGATGGGATGTATGACGCCCACGAGCTCGAAATCCGAGGAGGGTCGATCGAGGAAAGGCTCGGAGTGCGCGGAGCGCACTCGGAAGTTCTTAATCAGCCGGTAATCGGGCATTTTGTCATCGTTCCGCGAATTCGATCCGCGACGTTTAATCACTTAATCGAATCCGACGGCGCGAGATCTGGTTGGCGGTATTCGGGGAATCCAATTTCGCGGTCCGCGTTGTGCGGATTTGATTAAAATATACCCCGCCGGATACACGTCGGAGATCCGCGAGGTGTCTTGCTGTCAATACGTTTGCACACACACACACACACACACACACACACACACACACACACACACACACACTATATATATATATATATATATATAGTATTTATGATGTTTCTCTATGCGAATTCTTACCGTGATACTCCGGTGTCGGCTTATGTGGCTTACGGATGGGTTCGATGAAAGAGGAAAAAAGTGCACCGGGGTAATTTATCATTCAATTACAAAGAATTCGCGGCAGCTAGGTGGAAGTAATACACTTGACGCCAACGGCGGATTATCGCGCTTCTAAAAATATCGCTCCGCAGCGAGGTAATATCACAAAAGCAGTAACCGGAATACATAATACGAGCTGCATCGTTGCGATGTATTGGTGTATATTTTTAATACGTTCAACATGCCTACGCTCGCGTACTGGTCGAACGATCGATAAGAGCTCATGCAGATAGGGCTTTTCCATAGGAAATAACGTTTTCGGAGATAAATTCAATTTTGCAATTTCCAGGCATGTTAATTTTAAGTCGAAGTCGTACGTTCGACTTAAAATTGTTATCCTATTCAAATTCTCCGTTAAAAAGAAGGAACGAAACATATTTTTCGTAAATTATTGAAAAAAAGCGGGAATTTTCTCCTTTTAACATTAAATCGTTTTATATTCTTTTTCATCACGACACCTCGTCGTTCGCAGCGCTGGCATTGATGAATTATAATTTTGTCCGTACTTACAAAACTTCGTGAAACGAAAGTTCGTAAGTAGGAGAGTGCCCGTACTAGAATTTGCATACTTTTTAAATATATAATTTCGTTTTGGGAACGAGAGATCGCGGAAGCCATCTTTCAATAGGAAAACTTCTGACGTGTCTGTTTAAGATCGCTTTAGCCCCGACTCCCGAACGGAGACCCCCTTTCCTTTTCCGGCTTGTAAACTGCGAGGGGGAGCTTAACGGATGCGCTTCTTTCGGTCTCTATTTTCGCATCTCCCGCGAAATAAATCGCGCGCCCCGCGGCGAGATCGTTTGTCGCGGTTTTAATTTTTCCCGGTTGACGTGGCCGTCGATTACATTTGTATTACGGCTTCTCATGGACGAATGGACGAAAAAGAAGAGTGACGCGAATAAAACGCGCCCTGTCGATGGGCCCCCTGATTTAGTGTGCCTCACGATTTATACTTTTGCAGCCGCCCGCACGTAGCGCTGATACATTTGATTTTCCGCGAGTGCATCGGTCGCGTGTCCCTGCATGTGCACGTGCACGCGAAGCGTGTTTGTGTGTGCACGGGGATATGTGTGTGTGTACGTGTGCCCGCGCACGTATATAGAGACTAACGTTTCGACATTATCGGTGGAGAGCTATGGCGGGTGGGGTGGCTCTATGGTTTCAGAACATTCTTCCATTCCTCGTGGAATTTCTCATCTTCCGGCGTTCTAGCGCGGCACCCTTTCTTCCATCTGGCAGATTGCTTCCCCAAAGTGCTGTATTTTGTACTCTCCTCCGCGCGACTCTCCTTTTCAACCGGAAGAGATAACGCGCGCTATCCGTGTGTGCGCGACGCGCATGAAATTTGCATATTTTTTTAAAAAAGACGGGCACGCGATCTGCTTTACGGTGACACGCGACCGTTTGTCTTCCCATCAACACTCGCTAGGCGTGATGCGCCGCGAGTAAGGCGCGCCGTGTCTCTCGAAAAATATCCGATTCGAGAACGGATTGTGCGCGAGGTAAGAAGCGAGGTATGTGATTTTTCCCTCTGCGTATTACGCGTGTATTGAAAGCAAATGCGACAGAGGGGGGTGCAAAATGCAGCCCCGAAAATTAAACGCGACCTTCCTTCCTCATCCCCGAGAGAACAAACTCACGTACGCCGGTACGTATACAAAATTGTTTTCCTCCGGAGATGGATTCGACACTTGAAAATATCGCGAGAAAATACGCGCGACAAGGTGCGACAAGATATCCTGGCTTTTTTTAATCAGCGGCGAAAAAATTTACGCGAGAAATACAGGGACGGGCTGTCGGTTTCGTACAATCAGCTGTCCGTATGTCTGAACGTACGTATGCGTATTTTATGTTCATTTACATATGGATGTGCGCGGCGCGACGTGCAGTCGTCGACATTCCGGGTTATCGAACGCAGGCACGTCGGTCGGGCAACGCCGGACCGACATTTTTCCATTCCAGTCGGAATTTACCAGCCGGCGCATCCTCCTCGTGTTCCATCATCTTCCCATCGGATTTGCGTTACGCTTAGACAGCGCGCATTGTGACAGCGGGATGGCGAAATCCAGCGGCAAATATTTGCTCACCAAATATAGGAAATTTTCTACGAATTCGTGTGTGACGCGTACACATCGCAAAATAAGACACATTAAAAATATCAAAGAAAGGAGATGGAGATGGACGAAAAAGAGAAAGGGAGAGAGATGCTCTCTTCGAAGGCAGCATTCAGAGAGAAATAATAGCAACGAAGGCGGCTGAGAATTGTGATAAGAATTTTATGTTATTTATCGAAAACAGAAAAGAATTTGGCATATTCCGTTAGAATTCAGGAATCTGTATGGAATTTCCTATACTATCAGATAATTCCCTCTCTATATATATTTAGCAAAATGTGCTTCTCAATCTCCTCTTTACTTTAAATTTCTTCAGATAACTATCAGCGGTTTTATTGAATAAATATCATAAAACGTTTAATGCGATGCATCGATATCGCCAATTTTGCATCTGGTTGAAATATTCATTTTCCATTTGCCTCGAAGCTGTAATTTTTATTCACAATGCTTACGGAAAAACAGAAACATAATGACTGTTGCAATATCAAAGTCGGTAAACCTCTTTCTGCAACGCGAATCCATTGTTCTTCAGGAATTGCATGCATCAAATGGAAGTCAATCGATGAGGCAACGTTATTTATCGAGACTATCGTTTCTTTTCCTTTTTTTACGATATCACAGATTCATAATGTTGTAATCATCCTTGTCATTGTCGTGTTCTATTCTTTCCTTCGCTGATTCATTGTTTGCATTTTTGTCAAAACTTTTCATTCACGACATTGGTTATTATATCGATTTTTTTATTTTTACGATTACAGCAACAATATAATAAATAAATATAACAAAAAATAAATTTACAACCACCTTTTTTTATAAATGAATGTGGAAAAATGTGAAAAATATGGAAAATATTATTGAATAATTGAAATAGTAAAATTTTTACGAAAGATCAAAGCTATAATGTTAGTGTCCAATTTAAATCTGTCAAAAGCAATAACGAAATGAAAAAAATAACGAATTCGGTAGCTGTACGATTCTTTGTTGCAATGTGATGTAATAAATATAGAGTAAAGTTGCGTACAAATTTAGTGTAAATGCGTTATGATTTTGGAAATGCGTTATGAAAATATTATTTTGTAAAATATTATTTTTATTAATATGGATCATCATTAAATTTTTCATGGAAGTAATCAATTTATTTTGTTGACACATGAGAGCCTCGATCTATCCGTGTGGGAATTTCGCTTTTAAAAATAGAGGAGAACCGAAACGCTTCTTCTCCGGATCGATCTTATTACACTCGCATTTTTTTTTTCCCGATCCTTTAGTAGAACATCGCACCTGGAAAACTCGACTGTTCATCGGCGGATCGTTCCGGAATGGATTCGACGAGATCGAAAGATGCTTCTTACGCTGAGAAAGCGATTGCTCGTTTCTCGGATCGTGCTTCTTCCTCGCAGTCTAAAGTGCATTCTAAATTTTTGAAAGAAGGAACCCGTAGGTGGAGGTGACGGTAGAATGCGGGAATGTAGCGAATGGAAGATGACGATTCCTTGCCTGCCTCCGAGTGCTGAGGGATCTCGAATATGTCGAGAATTCGAAGCGGAAAATAGATAACGCGATTCGACAATGAAAATTTAATGCTATAGCGATTCGCTGGTTTCCAGACACCGGGAACGTAGTGAGCACGTGCTGCAGCCGACACATTTCCAGGGCCGACGTTTCAGTTATGCTTTTATTTTCGCGAATATCCATCAACATGCAAAAAAATGCGAGACACGGAGATTACGGGGAAAAAGGTCGGCGCAGAGTGGCGGACGCGGATAATGGCTGGGGAAAAAAAAATTTCATAGGATGGATCTAAAAATCTGTTTGCACGGACGAGGAGAGATCTGCTGTGGACTTTGGCGATCTCTGTAACTTTAAACATTAACCGGGTCTGTTGGGAGTAGATTGATATAGCGCGGCAATTATGCAAGATTGATCCAGCGCCGAGTAACGCATTAATCTCTGGGCGAAACTCGGATTATCAAGTAATATGGCCGGCATTAAAGGGTTAAGTGGAATATTCGTTGTAATTCGAGATGGGTAAATTTCTCGTCGAGCGAAAAATAGCGAGTATTTTAAATTGATGGCCCTCGAAAGTTTTCCCGTCGACCACATATTTTTCTGAGTGGCGAAGTGCCGACCGAGCGAGTTTAATCGAAAGTATTCCAAGTATCGAGCGCTGAGATCGAATCGAGAGCTGGCCGTACGCCAAATGTGTCGCGGGAGGAATTTTCTTTCTCGCGAATCGCGATGCGTTTAATGTTTCAAGCTAATATCTTGTGCAGTCTCGATCTTTTATCGTTGCATTCGCGAGCTCGTAAACGGTACGGATAAAACGGTAACGAAAAGTACGAACCTTCCGCTGTGGTGACGAGGACCATATTTTCCGGGTGCTTGTTGACCAATCGGCGAATAAGATCGATCTGTTCCAGGGCTAGCTGCACCGAGTCGAGATGCTGCGATGAGCAGGGCACATATGCGGACCAGAACTGCAACGGTAAAGCGGAAAGTTACGTGAGTTAAACAATACTTGTCAATTTATATCCGGTGTCGGATATAAATTTTATATTATGTTCGATCCGTAAATACGTTGAATGGTGCTCTTGACTTTTTTTTTTAATATTCAACGCAAAATTCATATATGTATAATTTTAATATTTAACGCAAAGATAATGTAATGTTCTGATATTTTATTTCTAGTTCATATACGAGTAAACGGATGCGAACGCGAAATACCGATTACTATTTAATTATTCCAAAAATATGGAAATTTTATATCGACGAACTTTATGAAATTTATCATGTTAACGGATATATTATGATATGATATTATACCGTAATGTAAAGTAGGCTGTTCTCATGCTAAAGCTGAAATCGATAAAAAATGTTGCGATTTATTGCAATGGATTATCTTTATTCAATATATTGGCTTGTGGGCTTACTCGTATTTAAAACACGATAACGTTAATCGCATTCGTATTTTAATTACGAGATATTTCTGACACATATAATGCTTTAATCTGCAGCATCTGATAGCGCTAGGAATAATTAAATGCGTATTACGATAGTCTACGAACGCGCGGGGTAATTTGCATTCTAAATAGTAGTCCAGTATCGGCGACGATCATAAATAACGAAAACTTTAAGAGTCCCTTCGTAATGCATTCGTAAAGCAAGAATATAACGGCACGCGGTTTGGAGTAATTTGAATGCGCTCCGAATGCGCTGTCTCTTAAGGTTACGCTCCATGCACGACATGTACTTGGCGTCGCAAAAATAACAATGCGACTTGAAAAAGGCACGCGATACGAAGATCGGGATTTCTGCCTTTTACCTGTCACGCGAGATCGTCGTGCGGCGATATAATTAGTTTCTTTCTACTTCCTTACGACATCCGTTTGACATTACGGAATTTATGTGCATATTTCAGACGTTTATCATTCGTAGTCAAACAACCCCTGTGATTAGATCTCCTTCTCCGTCGTGCCACGCGCTGTGTGTACGTACATACATTTTTCCCGAGGGAAACGAGAAAACGCGATTAAGCGGAGTTAATAAATTCTTATCAAGGGACCGCTGGCTGATGTCCTGTCGGCCGGCACCGTTGGAACTTGGAAATGAGAAACATTAAGTTCTTGCGCTCGCTCGGAAACCGAGACCGAGGTACTTTACTTTGGCGCGAATTTTCCGCATTATGCACAAGTGCGCGCATCGCGCGTCCTCGGCGGGAAGTTTTATTTAACAACGCGGACGAAATTTATGCCCGAAGCGTGAGGTTACCGTCGCAGTGTCATAAATCAACGTACGGAGGAGGCGTGAGGGCACTTCCGGTTTTTCTTGTCCCGCCGCCCCTTGCCTCGCTCTCTGCAACCGACAGAAATTGCGCTCTCGCGGGTCGTAACGTTCGCTAATAGTGACGGGGTTTAATCGCCCGCGATGCCAGCGGTCGTAATTACGTCCCAGACGTCTGTATTTCGGATACTTCGGCGACTTTCTCCACGGCTAATTGCGACGCGTAAATAATTCAACGGCAATAGAAAGTTCTCACGCTCGCAGTAATGTCGATACGCTGAACGGTAAGACGGGAACTTCGAACTTGTAATTACTTTCATATATATAGCTAGATAATAACTACTTATGATACAACGGAGAAAAAGAAGACGTTTCATCGTAGCGTAATATCTGTTTGATGAAAGCATTATCATGTAATGCTTTTTGTATTAAATGTGTTCTTGCCGTGGAAATGACGTGGGACTACTTATTAATGGACAAAATATTACTTTTATAATAAGTATTTTATTTTTATCTCTTAAATAAATATTACATCTTGTAAGTAAATATTAATAGTCTATTTATGAATTATTTACCTTTTTTTATATGACATGTACAAAAAAAGCGTTTGTAAACGGGCACTGTTGTGGATCGCGTTATCAGCAATCTCAATTCTAGACGCGCGGTCTTAATGCCGAATGTCACGATGGAAGAAATGTGATTTTACGATATGAATGGGACTGTGTAATCTCGCATCGGAGAAAATGCTGGGATATTAAGCGAAATATACCGACGTCTGTATTAGCGCACAATCGCCCCTCGGCCCCTCTCCCTCTGGGCACTGTAAGGAAGCAGTTACCGCAGCATTTTAGGTCAGACGTTCACAGAGAACATATCTCGGCACGTGTGTGCGTCTGTATATGTATATACATGAGATTTCTTTTTCCCTTCCGTACCTCTCTACCTCAGCTTCACGCAAGAACGGGCAGTAGTCACGGCGAGTTTTAGGTCAGACGTTCGTAAAAATACTCTCCTCTCCCTGTATAGAATGTGTCGCGTCTGCGATTCCACTTAAAGGTGAGCTGTGGCTCTGTAAGGGCCATCGCTCTTATATTGCGGTACGTTTTAATAATTTTGTGGCTGTACTGATGCGAGTTTACTATTAAGACGACCGTTTTAACTTACTCGACTCTGTGGAGACCGCTTCACGAAAAACGATCGTGAAAATCGATTTAAAAAGTTGCTTTTTTTCATTCTTTGTTACGTTAAGCCTTACATCTGGCGTCGTATAAATTTTAACCGTATCTCGTGTCGCAGTATCGTTCATCTCCGTTTCTTGAAATCATAACACAATTGCACGTAATTCTTGTGCTCAAATAATTTAATTATTTGTTGAACTTTTATTAAATACACTTAAAACTCATTGAATTTTTGAAAGCTTTGATAGAATTGAATAGTTACATCAAATTTGGAAATTTTTAAACGAAAATCTAAAAATTTTAAATGTTGAAAATTGTAGTGCGAAGCGGGAGATAGAAACTATGTTAGTATTCTCATTGAAAAAAAAAATACTATTTTCTGTGAATGTTATATATAAAATAAAACTTTATTTCAAAACTTGTTGTGCATTGTTATTTTCAAAATAAAAATATATAAAAAAAAATAATACAGATTTTAACATACGTATTAATTTTTTACGAATTACTCATCTTTAAATATGCAAGATGCATCAGAGAATGACAAAAGGTTTTTATTGTATAATAATAGTTTAATTATTATTACCAACAATTGGAAATTGATTCAAACAATCGTTTTCTCTTTCTCACTACTGACTGATTTTTTTGGACCAAAGATAATAATACTAAAGAAATTTGAAGAAAGAATTGACCGTTATTAAAATTTTTCATGTTTAAATATCTAATCGATATGCAGAAGACAATTCCATTTTTATCGCCATTCATTTAGTTATTGAATGTGAAAATATATAATGAGAGATCTCGGGACAATAACGGAAATTCAATTTGATCAATTTGATTGTAGTTATAAAAAAAGAGGACTAAAAAATCCCATTTCGCCGTTGGCGTTCCATCTTTCATTGGTTTCTCTTTCTTCGTATTGTACCTCAAATTCCGAAACAACCACGCGAGACTTAAATTTCCTCCCGTCCCGACGAACTGCTTCTATTGCGACAAAGTCGCCGAAAGTAACGCAAATTCCCACGGAGAATCCACCGACGCGATAAATCGGGTGCCTCGACTCATCTCAAGTTGGAATGCACTTTCGCGATTTGTGATGTGCCGGAAGTGCCGAAGATTTCTCGAGATAGACAGCCCGAGGGTTCAAACCAAAGTACTTGTCACACGTATTCTTTGAATTCTGCATGAGGATATATAGTGAGATATTTTGACTCTCTTTTATGTTAAAAATGACGTCTTCGAATAAATAAGACCTTTTTTTCACGAGAAACGTGTTGTACATGAAAATTAAGATTCCTGACTAATCGTCGCGGTACGATATTGGAATCGTGACATCATAAGCGAGAAATGATGCAGTGAAATTTATGAATGAACACTCTCGTCGGAGTTCGCTCATCAGTTTCAGCATCCCTTTAACTGACCTTGTATCTAATAACGAAATTTTTAATATCGTGATGGCAAAACGTTCGTCCGACGTCCGTACTCCGTTCCGCTATGCGTTTGATCGAAAAAGCGATTGTTCGAAAGGGTAGTCGTCGCGATGGAAAGTCTCGTCCATGCCGTGTAAGATTCTATATAAGTCGACGGTACGCGATCAATGGTAAGTAACCTTCCACCATGGATATCCACCAGCCCGTCTGAATTAACCAGGACAGTGATAGATTGAGGCGGGCCCCTCGGTTTGGCTCCTGTATACATTCGGTATACGTGTTATGTACATATTACGTGAATGTGTACGCGCGTTCGTCCCAATGGACATAACCGAGTGGTTATCCCTTTCGTCCTGACGTCCTGACGTTGGCAGCTTGGATACCTTAAGGGATCTGTCGAGATCAGAATATAATCCAAGATGCAAGGGATTCCGTGATCCCGCTAAAGGTTCCCCTTTCAAGTGTTCTTCAATATTGCAAGTTTCAAGATTATTTAGAAAATTAAACATTTATTAATATTACTAGATTATTAGGAAAATTTATGTTACTAGAGCTATTAATAAAGTTGTATAAAAGTCACACAAATTTGAACAGCGCGTGATACGCCCGTGGATGCTCCTATTATTATTAACGGTGCTCTACATGTTATTTCATATGCGCTTCCTATTCAGTATAATTACAAAATTCTCCCGTATTCCCGCATTCCAATTTTAATTGCGTTATTAATTGTTCCGCACAAAAATATCATATCTATAAAAAAGTTTTCGCGTAATTATTCGACCATTGTTGCGTTGCGCTATCATCCCCATAATTTTTCCTCATTATTACGCCGCGCCTCGCAACCTCGCGATTGGCATTAATTATGAAAAATTGCTCGTAACGCGTGGCGATATGTTGCCGCCGCGCGTTTTACCAGCATCCCTACTCATTATGCATCGAATTAATATTCCATTTAATAACATTAATGATTTCATTACGTTGTAAATGGTACGCATTTGCATGTCTTCTCATTAGCGGTGGATGCTCGTTTGGCTTCTCCCCCGTCTCGCCGGAAGGTAAGCGGACACCTTACAACATTAAGGTGAGCGACTAAGACCTCGCAGTCTTTTCAAACGTGGCTTATTCCACCTCTGCGCTTTCACGAGAGCTCCGACTTTTCGGATCGTGGCAACCCTTTTATCATGGCTCGCCACTTCGCTCGCGGCTGCCGTAAGCGGGGCTCTAGAAGCGGGAGACGCCTAATAGCTAGGATCACCCTGAGACTGTCTCTACTAACGAGAACGGTGGTATTTTCAAAGGTCTCTCGAGAAATTTCCTTCCCACCTCGATGCAACAGATATATCGGGAACGATCCTCGACATTACGCTTTCATTCCGACGTGATGTTGGAAACATCTCCTTCCCCTCCCTCTCCTCCCCCCGATTTCTGAATCCTATCGCGGGCATTGTAGGTCCCATTGTAGCCGGAAGTTTCGCATTCGATGTAACACGATATATTATTCACCTCGTCCCGGCGTAACGCGAATAACGGTCCCGTTAATTCTTAATGCGTTTTAACGGGTTCCACACGTAAGCTAACGGGCGTCCTGGCGGTTTCCGAAATCCCGTTTGAAAAAAGCATGGATTGCCGGCGCGGAGGGGGGGGGGGAGGGAAGGGGGAAAAGGGAGGAAACGCGCGCGCGCGGCATCTCGAAAATGAATATCGGCATTCGCGGGAGCGAAATCCTGTAATCCCTCTTTCGATTTAATCCGAAATTCAATGCATTTAAGAATGTATAGCGCGAAACGCTACGTGTATATATATATATATATATATATATATATATATATATATATATGAGCGACCTACATATGCAGCATGCTCTATCAAATTCGACGTTCGAGCATGTTCTCGAGGAATTTATACCACACGCAATCCCCGAAACTTTCCACCGGTCTTTGCGCGCACATTGCGACTGTATATGCGTACCGGCAGCTTTATCTTCTCCTTCTATGTTAACTCTCGACTATGCACTTCGTGTCTTTTAGAACCGCGTTCCACGAGCGCGCGTGTGCGCGCGTTTCAAGTACCGTAAATAAATTCTCCACGCAGCCTTTGCTCTCCTTTGAGAGCTACTTTAAACGCAATAAGCTTGCGACGTACAAAGGGGAGTAATTTTTGATAATGAGAATATTTGGAGTTAAAGGAAATCTTCATATCTTCAAAAGGCTTTACACAAAAACATCAATCGGTCTTCAGTATTCACATTTTTTACAGCATATTTCAATTTTTAAACAGTATTTAATTCTGATTCATATATAAATCTTTTATTTCTTTTTTTCTGTTTGCTTCTCTTGAAATGTTTCTTCTGGAAAAATTCCCTTTAAAGCTCCTGAACTACTACTCAGCTAACGTAGCAGGCTCCGCGTTGACGGTAGCGACACAGTATCACGGTAAAAATTAGAAGCTTATGTGCAAATGTGACTTGTATCGTACTTACTAAATTCGTAAAAATGGACGACAGCTAAAGTTACCTTTGAATTTTATATGTAAAAGATTATTTTTCACTTCTCTCAACAGCTGTCAAATCGTGTATTTTTCTGAATAGACTTCATTTCACGTGCCTTTTACGGCTATTTATTGATTATCAGAAAGAGAAAAAGACAGTAGCCGTCCATTTTCACAAGTGTGTCTTAAAGCTATCACATGTCGTTTTAATTAAAGTTATCTCTTTATTTGCAAATTACATGTAATAAATTTCACTGTGTCATTCGTTTATGATCGTCACGATTCCAATATGACGACTGGTCAGGAGCTTTAAAGGCATACTATCAATATGTCGTTTTTTTCTTTTCTTTTACTATCTTGATTCTTCCATCTTCTATCTCCTTCTAACAAATACTTTCGGTTAAATTGCACGTTGTTACAAATCGATGCTCGATAGAGAGTTCTCCGACTTCGCGCAAAGTTTCGCGCGCTATATCGAAGTTTATTCGACATGATACCGAGCCGTTCGGAAAAAGATTTTCGTAGGATTAATCGAAGGTATTTCGGGGAGGTGGAAGAAACCGATCGTGTCGTGGTAAATTTTCGGCAGCACGTGAAGCACGGCGGGCAACCGAAGGAAATTAATTGTTCAAGTTCGCCTCGATTTTCCTCGAGTCGTTAAAGAGCCGTTTCCGCCGTTAATTGAACTGAAAGGCGATTTTTTACGGTCAGATCTTAATTGCGATTTTAGATTAATCCCCGTTATTAACGATCGCCTGGCGGAAGCGTCACGCGTGAAAGTTTTAACTGCGCGAGCGGAAAGATCGAATTTATATTCGTTAAATTCACTGTTGACGCTTTATAAAATAATTCCAAATTGAATATATTCTGTTCTTTCTATCTTCCTTCTATCCTTCTAATTAAGAATTACGCATGCACTTTGCGTTGCATTTTATTCGTCATTTCGCGTTCTCAATTTTCGACCCATAATATCACCGTAAAAATGCAGTGCAATCTGCACGCATAATATTTAATTCGAAAAAATATATTTGATATAAAATTATTTGATGAAACGTTAAATATTTCGTGAGCTCGTAAGAGTTCAAAGCTAATTTTAGCTGATTTCATCCGTGCATTTAAAAATTCGTTTAAAAATTGCGTTTAATCCGAGAAAAATTACGAAATTCGTGCAATTTTGGTAATCGGGATACTTCGAGGTTGTATTATTCGTATATTTAAACATAAACGTGATTTTCGTAAAATCAATTAATTGCTATTAGGCGCTGCTGTTTGATTTATAACTGAATTAGGTATACGCGACACGCTATAAATTAATAATCTCTACTTGCCACGAACAAAACAGGCTTCAGAATACGACAAACATTTCGTAGCAATATTGGCGAACGACTAACTGCATGCGATTCTGCGAGTCCACAACCGTTTGAATTTAAATCAGATTGGATTAACGCGACTTTAAATTAGTTATAATTGTCGATGACTCTGCAGGTTGAGTTCTACGTGCGAACATTTAATTGCAATTTGGCGGTACTGTGGCTTCAAGGCGACATGCGATTCCCTCATTCGCGTGGATTTAATTTTCACTCGCGAGAGCTGCGACGAAGTTGGCGAAAATCGCAATGTTAAGCTCGACTAATTGCCAGGTCTGTTTTCGAGAACCAAGAGAGACAAGTACATATACATAGAGATTAATCCGCAACAACATTATCTTTTTCTTTTTATGGAGTTACCTCTCGCGGTAACGCGACACGATACGCATTTTTATTGACAAAGATAAAATAATTTATATAAAAGTTTACGAAAAAAATTCGTAAAACTATAAAGATAATAATTTTAAAAAACAACAGAAACACTCGTGAGACAGTACGCGTATAATTAAAACAACGAAAACTTGACTCAAGTAGCTAACATTATTCAAGAAATCATGATAAGCAGCTTTGCAATAATCTTCTTAAGAATTTTGCGGTATTCTTCCTCATTTTCAGTGAAAGATATTCGCAAAAGTCAGGTCCATTCAACGAAGTATTAAATTTTACTCTCCAAATTTGAACTGTGGGATGTATATATGCAAATATTGACGGCAATTAATCGTAGCGACGGTACACACAACCATTCAACGAGAAACTTTTCATTCAGTCAGTTCCGCGATAGATCGAACGAGTTTCGGCGAAGCCGGCGCACGAGCCGCGTGTATTAATTTCGACGAACTCTCGTTGTCGTTATTATTAAAACTCACCTGCGCTGCAACCATGCCTTGCTTCAATCTCTTGAGATCCGTATGGCTCCAGGCGCTTCGCGACCAGGGATGAATGTTACTTAGGTCATCAAACCTGAACTCCCTCAGCTGGTTCTTCAGGAACTTCCGTATGTTCCAGGGTAGGTCGTTGTGCCTGAAGAGAAACGGGAGATATCAATCGATATATATGCGCGCACGCCACTCGTGACTTTTCTATCCTCCTTTAAACTTCTTAAGCTAAACGTGGCACGCCGCTCTAAAATAGTTGGATAAATTTATTCCGCATGGAACACACATTCTTCGCAGCGTGACACGGAATACATTTTACGCGCAAAACTCCTATCAAATGCCTCTCCAATAAAGTTTTGTTTTGCACGAATTTACACCGGTTTCCCGACGGAAAGACAAAGCGTCACGAGTGCGAGCCTTCAAAGAAGGGGCTACGGACTAGAATATCTCGTACTCTCTTGTCAAAAGTTTTATAACTTATGTGGGATTCGTTTATTTCATTTCCCGTCTCTTGTACGAGCTCGCGCACTTTAAGCTTAATTGCTTCTGGTGTTAATCATACTTCAAACAAGAATATTCGATGTCCTGTAATTTCGTTCTACAATATAGCCAAAGAAACTCTAGATAGCCAAAGTTTGGCCTTTATAACAGTGTTATCTGATGTTCAACTTGAGATGGACTCGGTAGCTGTGTCAAACTTATTTTCCACGAAGTTATGGGCATTTCCTCTACGGGAACAAGAATATATTTGTATTCTTGTTGAAATGAGACACGAATTTAATTCTCTTGCGCGTGGAATACTAAGTTTTTTAAATAAATGACATATATAAAGTTTTTATATGTTTATATATGGTATGAGAAGTAATAGTTATTAAAAAAATCTTCATAGATTTTAATCTAAATACATTTCTCTCTTTTAATTATTTATTTATTTATTTATTTATTAGCCTTCTAATTACAATGCACAAAAAGATATCTTTACCATTACTAATAAAACAGAAAGTACGAATACATTACAATATTTTATTACATTAAATATATTATGGTTTGCAACGGTATCCAAATAAATCTCATTTATTTAAACGATTGGCAACCGCACGATTACAACGTGCTACTTCGATTTCCATATTAATATTTCCATATTAATGAGCGTAAAATAACGATGTCATAAATTAACAGCGCGAAAAGCCTTATTTGCGCAATTCATTTCACTTGCTTTTCCAACCAGCTTACCGATGCTTCAATGAACATAACGTAACGTTCATAGTTAAAAGATCCGATACATCATGTATTACGTATCGTTGGTTACCCGATCAATCGATATTTCTTCACTCTCTCTCTCTCTCTCTCTCTCTCTCGTGAACGGACGAAGGAAGAGGACGCGTCGCGTCGCGGCACAGAATATCGGAAGATACGCGCATTAATTATGCGCGCTAATTGCCGCGGCAATTGCTGCTCGTAGCACTCGGCACTGTCATTGTAGAAAAGGTGCGCGCGATTGCAACGCCAGCTCGCCATTGGCTCGATGCTGATTTCATCGCGTGATATAAATTAATATAATATAATATAATTTTCGATATAATTTCACCATCGATTTTATTATTCTTCCAATGCCGACGGTCTTTCCGAAGGAGTCAGATGGTGCGTGCATAAAGTTCGACAATTATGAGCCTTGCGAAACCTGTGAGTTAAACACCTTTCGAGGTTATCCTTCATTTTCCGTGAGGGCATCATGCTGGTGAAACGCATTGCGCAATCGAGCGGATAGATCTCGGTCTCGAATGCCGAATATGATCATGAATCATGATCGCTTTACCAGTGTTCATTAGCATGCATATTAGGGAGCATGATAATGATGCACGATCGTGATTAACCGTATTAAACATTTTCATTAATGTATCCTTACAGAGATTAAACGCGTGATGTTTTCCTTCGTACGCATCGTATTATTTGTCTTTACGTATAACGCTCGAAATCGATGTTAATTTAGGTATTGTGATCGAATACCCTAGCGCGAAAAAGGAGCCGCAAGCGAATATCGGGAATGCTAAAAGAAATGAAAAAATGCTGAAAATCAAATGTTAAAATAAAAAAATCTACATTCTAACATTGAGAAGTATCAGAAGCGATCGATTAATAGTTTCGCATGCGATCATAATTAGTTTTCTTGACACGTTTTTTCAAAAGCAGAGCTGTCTTTGATTGTATGATCGAGCAACTTGATTACAGAAGCTGGCGAGATTGGGTAACGAGTATTGATTGATAAATAAATCCTCTTTGTTTTTAATTGCTCAAGCCATTCATTTCATTAGTATTATACTTGTGCAATATAGAAAGTATTTATATATAAATTCAAAACTTTTTTTCATATTTTCCTCGAGAAGAAAAATGTGTATGTCAATGATAATTGTGTGGAATATTATACTAATTTTTTACGCGTTGTTCGTATATATTTTTGTAATATTAGTTTCTGTACATTTTATGTATTTTGCATTATTACTGTACTTACATTTTTGATAATGCATACGGTACATGCATCCTGACAGACAGCTTCCACTGGAATTGCATATATGCATTAAACAATAAAGCGATCCTCTCGTTTTCTTTCCGACGAAATTTGCACGTTGCATTTTTTTGCGAGTGTAGATGATATTCAAATATCTTTCCTTAATAATTTATGCATTCGACGACGACTAGAGGAGTGGCTTTTAATCTAGTTTTTTCTCTATTTTTCAAACACGTCGAAATTACTTTAAAATCTCATTAGATTTTTTTATCAAATCTGATTAAATATCTGCGAAATTGTTAACTCAATTCGCACGCGAAATGGGTACGCGATATCGCATTAATAAAATTTCTCCCGTGTCTCTCTTTGCATTGTGAGAACCGTCGATAAAGCGACGGGTTATCTGATCGAGGAAGATGCATTATCGGCATATCGACGCGTCTGTGGAGTAAAATGTAAAATTAACACGGTCTCTCACGGTCGTGCCGAGATGCCAGATATTCTTTGCCTTTCCGGAATTTACTCTAATCGCAAGTCAGCAGACAACGGCATAGTTTGACGTAAAGGAATTTCCGATTTTGCTCGGTGTGCACGTCGAGGGCGGCCCGGCGGGTAGTATGCGTGCATTGTTATCCCAACAAATCTGGCTCGAATCAGCGATGGATCTGCCGTTCGTTTGTAACTAACCGCACCCTCTCTCGTATCCTCTCAAATGCACTTTGCATGCGGCGCGATAGGTGCCTAACTTGCAGCAGAATTAGAATTAACCAAACGAGCAATCGGCTCTCCATCACCGGACTCTCTCGAGGCGCGCGCGCGCGCGCTCTTTTCCTCGCGTGAGTTATATAATTCGATTGTTCTCGGAATGTGCGAGAGTTAGCAACGAGTTGTCCGCGAATGTCCAACTTGATTTAAATAGCGTGCGCCATTCTGTCCAACAGAAGCCTCTCCGAGTGCAAGCTTAACTTTATAGCGGATCGGACGATTTTATTATTCGAGCGCACGCAGCGGATAC